GGAAGTTGTCATGAGACATAACACCTTCTAGGAAGAATCTATCCAATAAATGAACATGGGAGAAGATATGGAGAAGATGGGTAGGAAACTCCTTTTCCATGTGATTGGAAGCTTGGATGCAACTTTCTCTTGTCTCCAAACTAGTCTTATAAATAGAGTGCTCCATGTTGTTCATTATCATCAGTTTCTAAAGTGAGAAAAATGTGTGAAGAGTGAAATACACTTAGAGTATGAATGTATTAGTGATGATTGTTTTTTTGTAATAGTTGAGTGTGAGAGTTTGCTCATCCTATTGTAATTCTGTTCGTGATATTGGATAGAAGAATTTTCCAATCCCAACAAGTGGCATTAGAGAAAGGTTGAGTTTTCATACACTTTTTTCTCATTTTTCAGAAAATCTTCTAGAGGTTAGAAAATCATGATTTTTGAAGATGCTCGGAATCACAATCTGATCACACCATCTCCAGGAAGAAGACGACCACGCCAACGCCACATGTCATCCACGTCAGCGCCAGGTCAGTACACGTCAGGTCCAGTCAACTCCAGTCAGCTGCCACGCCATCCGAAAGAGACACCGATTCGAGCCACGTCGACTGCCACGTGGAGACACTTCAGTGACAACGCAGTACCAGCTCCTGCCATGTCATCCGCCTGCTGGTCTGCACCTTGGGCTACTGCCTGAACCGGAACAAACCGGTTCGTTTCTATGGAGACCGGTTCAACGCCTTCCAGACCGGTTTTTGATAAGGTCAATCCGGTTCCTACCATTTTCGACCATTTTGGATTCAACAATGAGCTCCATTTTTCCAAATTCGGCTTCAAAAATAAGGTACGAGATATATTGAGCGTTTTATTATGGATAAATCATCATCGGACACCATGATTGTGCTCACTTCCACAAACTACAATATGTGGAATCCTCAGATGGAGGATTTGCTAAATTTGAAGGATTTAGCCGATCCTCTTGATAATAATGGCACCAAACCGGGTAAGAAGACGGATGAAGAATGGACTAAGAAGTGGATCGATCATAGTGTGTTCCACCATGTTGCTCAAGAATAGAGTGCTTACACACTATGGGAGAAGCTTGGTAGCATACTAGCATGTACCAAGCCAAAACCGCCCGAAATAAGACGTTACTAATGAGGCGATTAGTAAACCACAAGTTACGAGGTGGTATTTTGGTGTCAGAACACATCGGTCAATTCCAGGATCTCGTGAATCAGTTGAGCACCACCGGATGGGTTCTCAAAGATGAAGAGCGGGCGATACTACTCTTGAGCTCTCTACCTGACAATTGGGAGACTCTTGTTATCACTCTCAGTAATTCTGCTCCTAATGGGAAGGTGACCATGCAGATGGTCACAGATGCCCTGATGAATGAAGAAGCCTAAAGGAAGGAAGACGGGACGGAACAATCATATGCCCTCATATCAGAAACTAACAGAAGAGGGGGAGGCAGAGATGGAGGAAGAAGTCGAGTCGAGGTAGAGGCCAAGGTCAAAATAGAGAAAACTCTCAAGTTCACGGCATATCACAAGAGAGAGGTATGTTCTTTGAAAACAATACTTGGTTTGAAGGATATTGCAATTTATGTGGTAATTATGGGCATAGAAAAAGAGATTGTAGAAAGTTGCTACCAGAGCAACCACAGACGAGTCAAAATACTAGCCAAGAAGATGGTGCGATTATGGTTAGTTTGTCATCAGACGTGTTGCTTATTACACATGGTGAACAAGAATGTTTACACGTAGGTACTCATGATGTTGAGTGGGTGGTTGATACAGCCGCATCATTTCACGTCACTCCACACCACAACTTATTCACATCTTATAAGTCTGGAGACTTTGGAGCTGTGAAGATGGGAAACACCAGTTTCTCGAAGATTGTTGGCATTGGTGATGTGCACATACATAACAACCAATGTCAGATGCGCACTTGTGTTGAAAGATGTTCAACACGTTTCAGATCTTAGATTGAATCTTATCTCCGGTACAACTCTGGATCAGCAAGGATATCTTAAATGATTCAAAGAAGGTACGCAGAAGTTATCTAAAGGTTCCTTGATTATTGCAAGAGGACATATTTGTGGTACTCTTTATAGAACTCATGCAAAGTTGTGTCATCCAACTCTCAATGTTGTTGAAGAAGATACATCACCAAAATTATGGCACCAGAGGTTAGGCCACTTAAGCGTGAAGGGATTGACAACTTTTGCAAAGAAGGAAGCCATTTCCATAGGCAAAGGTGTTGCCCTAGATCCATGCGAGCACTGCCTATTTGGGAAACAACACATAGTTTCCTTCAGTTCTACCAGGAAGAACCATTAAGAGTTACTCAGTCTTGTCCGCTCTGATATATGTGGACCCAATGAAGATGAGTCACTTGGAGGAAACAGATATTTCACGACTTTCATTGATGATGCATCACAAAAGGTATGAGCTTACTATCTAAAGAGTAAGGATCAAATGTTTGATCGTTTCAAACTATTTCATGCCATGGTAGAAAGAGAAACAAGGAAGAAGTTGAAGTGTCTACTTTCAGACAATGGAGGAGAGTACACTTCCCGGGAATTCTTAGCATATTGCGCCGCATATGGAATCAGACATGAGAAGACGGTTCTACGAACTCCACAACACAATGGTGTAGCCGAAAGAATGACCCAAACTATTGTGGAGAAAGTTCGTTGCATGTTGAGTATGACTAAACTACCTAAGCTATTCTGGGGTGAAGCTGTGCTGACGGCTTGTTATCTTGTAAACAGAACACCTTCTAATCCTTTAAACTTTGAAGTGCCAGAGAAGAAATGGTCAGGAAGAGATGTTTCTTACTCTCACTTGAAAGTGTTCGGGTGTAAGGCATTTTCACACGTGTCCAAGGAGTTGAGACACAAGCTTGATCTCAAGTCAAACCCATGCATCTTCATCGGTTATGGAGATGAAGATCGAATTTGGATACCGGTTGTGGGATCCCGAAGTGAAGAAAGTTATACGAAGCAGAAATGTTGTATTTCATGAAAACGAGTTTCACGAGTGTGCTCCAATAATCCACAAACAACATACTCCAAAAGACGAAGTCCCTGTATCATCAAACATTCCTCTCAACGACGAGGAGATGCATGATACTACTGAACAAGAGAGTGATGGTTCAATAGGTAATGATGATGATCACAATGATGATATTCCTTCGCAGGGAGAGCCTTCATCTGAAGACGAATCTGAAGGTACTCATGTTCGACGTTCTATGCGAGGCATAGTTCCACAGAGAAAATACTCCACATCCGTATGGATACTTGTTGCTATCGAGAGGGAGCCTGTGAGCATCACATGAACGAGAGAGATAAAGAAAACGGTGGAGGGGAGATTTGTAGGGATCTTCCACCCTTTGTTTTGGAAGTTGCCATGAGACATATAACACCTTCTAGGAAGGAGCTATCCAACAAATGAACATGAGAGAAGATATGGAGAAGATGGCTAGGAAACTCCGTTTCCACGTGAATGGAAGCTTGGATGCAACTTCTTTTTGTCTCCAAACTAGTCCTATAAATAGAGTGCTCCATGTTGTTCATTATCATCAGTTTCTAAATTGAGAAAAGTGTGTGAAGAGTGAAATACATTTAGAGTAGGAGTGTATGAGAGAGAGAGAAATATTCTACTCAATTGTTAGATGGCTTATCATATACCTAATAGCATCAGTTTCTAAATTGAGAAAAGTGTGTGAAGAGTGAAATACATTTAGAGTAGGAGTGTATGAGAGAGAGAAAAATATTCTACTCAATTGTTAGATGGCTTATCATATGAGAGAAAATTCTCTCACATCTTCCACAAATGTGTAATGATTCACCCAATAATAATTTTTTTCCGTCTTCCACATCTTCATTCCTTAATTACATAATTGTGATTATGTAAATTCAGTTTTTCAATTTTGAAAACAATTATGTTTACTAAAAGTTAATAAGTCATATGTTTATCAACTATCCCTATCTTGGTCATATATTAGAAACTTTTTCTTTATTTAATACATAATAATTCGTATTTACATTATAAAATTAGAAGGTTGTTTAATAAATGTTCTGATTTTTTTTGAATTTTATATATGCAATATTGATGTCATATGAAAGATCGTAAAAAAATTATGAAATTTGATATGATTTTTGTAAAAATTGGATTAAAAATGAAATAGAAATTAGTTCAAATAGGACTAAAACTATGACAAAAATCTAAAATAGGACTTGCTATGTTTTTATTCCAAAATAGGACCATATGAGTCCTATTGGAAACATACCTATTTTTGCATTCCATTCTTACCCTTCCATTATATATGAATTAAAAATAGTCAAAAGCCATAATTAAATGTTTAATTCATAATAAATTCGAAAAAAATTCAAAAATTCGTAGAAATATAATTAAAAAAATTATAAAATTTTTATAAAATAAAAAATTCAAAAACGTTTTTTTAAATAATTTTATTTTTAAAAAAATAAATAAAAAATAGTAAAACTCCGTAAAAAAAATTTAAAAAAATATGGATGCCTTTCCCACCGCCTGTACTACCTCCCAGCATCACCACCTCCAGCCGATGAAAAAAATGCCATTTTCCCAGAAAAATGCCATTTTTTCTGAAAATGCCAAAAAAGTGGCATATTTCTCTTTTCGAATGCCAACATTTTCATTTTTAAATAGAAGAATATAAATCTTTCTTTTCGTTAAATAAAACTTATGTGTATATTGGTTTATTAAATGAATGAATGGCAAAATATTCCGGGCTGCGCTTGGTCTTATGTTCCCTAAATGTACGCGATATTAATATAGCTTATACGATAGTATGTGAGAAGTTGTTATTAAATATCGGAGGAATACGTTTTCTTTCTTAAATTTCAGCCATTACCCTGCAACCCCAAACATGCAACACCACAAATTTATCTGCTATGTGTAATAAATTACCTAAATTTAGCATACAAAGAGCATATATAAAACCTCGATAAGCAAAAGGACTTAAATCAATTGTATTGTATATTATTATTCTTTTTACAATAAAATGGGAAATCTATCTTTATTATTTTATTGCTTGTGCATCTGTGTAGCATTGGGATTTCCCAATGTGGCCAAAGCCGAAGAAAAGATTGAATTTTATGAACTAAAGAAGGGAAATATTTCCGTGAAGCTCACTAATTGGGGTGCCTCTATTGTCTCCGTTGAGGTTCCTGATAAATCTGGTACATTGTTCTTTTCCCCCATTGACAATATGAATACAACATCATTTAATTAACTTATTATCATTAGAGAAAGTTGTACATTAATCTTGTAACTTTTAGTAATTTCCGCGATAAAACCGGGAATTGTAATCATTTGCATCTTGTAACTACTAAGATTTTCACATTAAGATTTTTATACCAGAACGTATTATTTACTCGTAATTTTTTGTGAAAATTTTGATGACACTGAAGACTTTTCTACCCATTCTGATCAGAAAATATACATTTCTCACAAAAAAAGTCATTAATATGAAGACTTTTATTATTAATTTTTTTAAAAGAGAAAGTGCATAACATAGATTAAGTAAGATCATTACACAGTACTTCACGTATACACTCCGGGATTAGTTACATGATCTAATATGCAAATAACTAAAGTCAAAGGACTAATCGCAAACATACCCAAAAATTACAGGACTAAAACTGCAAAGTTCTATTAATAATATCATCTGTATCATTAATGTTGCAAATATCTGTCGTAGCATTCTTTTAATATAATTCCTTAATAATTATTTATTCATCTTTTTAAAGCTTACATGAGATTTTAAATGTCATTTGGTGACATTCTATTGTAATTTTTTACAGGAAAGCCAATCGATATTGTTCTCGGTTATGATTCCATCAAGGAGTACCAAGTTAGTGTTTAATAAATCTTCTTATTGATTATTGGATTGACTATGTTTAAAACGAAAATGACAGAATAGATCATATAATTTGAAATTAACAAATTAATTAATTGATTTGAAACCATTTGCATGCAGGCGGACAAAAACTATTTTGGAAGTGTAGTAGGACGTGTATCAAATAGAATTGGCAATGCTGAATTTAAGCTTAACGGGAAAGTGTACAAATTAGCCGCTAATGACGGAAAAAACACCCTTCACGGCGGTCCTAAAGGATTTAGCCATCTTGTTTGGAAAGTCACCAAGTACGAGAACAGTGGAAATGCTCCTTTCATTGTCTTTACCCACCGCAGCAGCGACGGTGAAGAAGGTTAGAATATCATCCGTTTTCCCCCTTCTAATATAATAAGCATGGTTTTAAATTGCGGTCAAGATCGGATGTTACGATTATTGAGGACGCTGCGATACGTATTGTGGCCGATTTGACGTGAACAAATATCACGTCCCCACGGAATTTAAATTGTGATCACGGTTACATCTTTTGAGTTTTACAGGAAAGTAACAAAATATGAACTAATTAACTACGCCGTACAATGTAAAAACATGAGGTTATTCTTTTTATCATGTTGATCTTTTAGGATTGAATTTTGAATCTTCATATGAACTTACTAGGCATGAACATGGTTTGATAGTCTAGCTCGGTACTGTGCGTGACCGAAATGTACCGATCCGTCTTTCCAGTTCCGGGCGAAGACCGCATACTTGATCCGGTGTATAGGATATCGGGTCTCTGGTTCTCTTTTTGGGACGGAACCAGACGGTTTCAACGACAGTTTCAATCCCATGGGCCATTTTTTAATTGGATTTCAGCCTTGGAGTGGTTGGAACTGGGCCCATCTTCTTTAGAATTTCTAACAAATCTAAATCTTAAACTCTTGGAACTGGGAAAAAATGACCTAGGTAGGGAACCAGGATTGGACCGATCGAATACATGCAACTGGCCCGGAACCAGAAATATAATCAGGCCGGACCCGATCTTCTCAGAATTTTGGCAAGGATGGGGTCTTGGCTCGAAAGTGGGACCGAACTGACCCGGGTCCATAATCAGAACTAGGACCGACCCTAAATATTATAGTCCTTTATATTGTAGAGATATTACCCTAAATATGACTAAAACAATTTGAAAATTCCAAAATAGGACTGCCATGTTTTTATTTCTAAAATAGGACTAATTACTGTCATATTTTGGCACTACCAGATTTCAAACATGTCAGTATTTTGTAAATATGACACTAATTAGTCATATTTTGAGAATAAATAACATGACAGTCATATTTTGAAATTTTGAAAATGTTTTAATCCTATTTGGGAAGTGTCCGAATATTGTACACCTAATGTGTCTAACTCCTTGCGGATGCATGTACTGATTCAATGGCGGTGCAGGATTCCCTGGTGCACTCAAAGTAGTGGTGACCTACACATTGGTCGCTGAAGGTCAACTCACCGTCTTCATGAAAGCAAAAAGTCTCGACGAGAAGGTCTCTCCGGTGAGTCTAGCCCAACACACATACTGGAACCTCGGCGGCCACAACAGCGGCGACATCTTGGAGGAGAAGCTCAGAATCCTCGGCCAGTTCATCACTCCGGTGGACGAGAACTCCATCCCCACCGGTCAACTCATGTACGCCAGAGGAACCGCGTACGACTTCACCGAGCCCCAACTCAACGGCATCGGAAAAAGAATCCACCTCCTCCCCACGCCGGCCGGGTATGACATCAACTATGCCATCGACGACTTTGACCCCGCCGGAAAGGTAAGGCTGGCGGCGATCGTGGAGAATGAGAAGACGGGGTTGAGGCTTGAGCTTTCCACCGACGCTCCCGGCGTTCAGTTTTACACCGGAAATTCGCTGAAAGACGTCAAAGGGAAGGGCGGGTCAACGTATCAGGCCCATGCAGGTTACTGCTTGGCGACTCAGTGGTACCCTAACTTTGTGAACAACCCTACTTTCCCTCGGTCTATTGTGGAGAAGGGGAAGGTTTACAAGCACCACATGGCTTTTAATTTTACACGTATTTAATCGTGATCAAGATTTTATTATGTAATTTTTATTATTTTCATTTAATAATTAATAAATTCCCGTTTTCGTAATTACATGAGGGAATTAAAATAGACAGCCAAATGTAATGCTAGAAGAGGCCATGCATTCAATCAAGTATATAGCCAGTCGTTTGGAAATGATTTGATTTTCAAGTTTTAATAATATCTAAGTTGAGTACGTATTATTTATACTTTGGTTTAATCGAACCCAACGGAACCAAACTCAAAATTTATATTTTGGTTTTGTTAGGGTTTACTTAAATAAATGGTTTGGTACAAATTTGTTCAAACTGAATGGTTTAGTTTGATTTGGTTTTAATTTGGAAAACCGTACCAAACAAATTGCAATATTTATAAACAATATAATACTTTGCATTTGTCTTTACCCTTCATCTTTAAGATATACTACATCTTTAAATGAATAATACACTTACTACATACCATTTTAACTTTTACACATGCATTTTAGACACTCATTTGACAAAGTTAGCTAACAAAGGCACACATGTATTGGTTATGTTTGTACTGTATATGTATCACAAGATGTTTGGCGATAACAATAGTATATTGACTTTTAATATATTTTTACCGTTGACTCATTTAATTTTCTTTGAATACTTTATGTGATACATAGTATTATAAATGATAATCACCTATAAATTTATTTTTTGTGAGAATAAAATGATAATAGGGAAATAACCTGAGGGATATTTATATACGAAAATAAAAGATAGAAAAAGAAATAATAAAATTTTATAAATTGAGAAGAAAAGGATTATAGTCATATTGTTGCATTTTCGGCTAATTTTAGTCCTACTTAGGGCTAATGGCCCAATTATAATCTAACAAAAAAGTCTCCTAGCTACTCCGTATCACCGCATCAAACATACGGAGTTTAACTATTAAGTATGCTTGATATGCACTAATTAGTAGTGCATAAATATATTTTTTATGATTGATTTGTGTGTATTGTTTACCGTTTTATTTAGTTTGTAAACATTTGTGTGAATTTAGTTGTAATTGTATTTTAACATTCATTTATTAGTTGTAAAGTAGAATTAGGAATTATGGTGTTGAAAAGGAGGACTTTGAAGTGAAGAAAAAGGAGATTGGACTATCCAGGAGCTGAAACCTGACCGGGTCTGATTCAACAACCGAAAGTGCATGGAAAGTGCACTCACCCGGTCGGGTCCCCTACCCCACCCGGTCGGGTCTGACTTGACCCGGGACACTTTAACATGCTGAAGATCACCAGAACGTGGAGGATATTTGATTTTAACATGCACCCGGTCGGGTGGGCACTTTACCCGGTCGGGTACCCAGCCAAAGATGTTGTAAAACACCTATAAAAAACCTCATTTTCCTTCACTTTTAGATATCCTTTCTTCCATACTCCTAAGCTCAGTTTAGAATAGCATTTCTTTATATTTTTCTAGCTATGTTTAGTCTCCAAATGAGGAGCTAAACCCTTCCATCTTGGTTTTGCTACTTTGAAGCTTAATGAATTTGTAAGTTGTGAGTTATTTTCTTTAATCTTCTTCCTTGAATATTAATTCTTCCTTTAAAATACTATTTCTATATCAAAGTTGGGGAGTGTTACTAAGATGACAATTAGTTAACATCTTAACATTGGTTATAGTAATAGCTATTTCTTCCTCTATGTTAATATTGGGGAGTGTTACTAAGATGACAATTAGTTAACATCTTGATATTAATCATAGTAGGATTCATATTCTTTAATATTCTTCCTTGAGTATTAATTAATTCCTATTCATATTTCATGTTAATATTTTAAACATTACTTAAAGTATCAACTAGTATTGTTTCTCATATTAATTATTACTAGAATCGATCGGTTAATACGCTTGTTATTAATCCGGTTCTTTCAACGGTAGTAAACTTGGAATATTAATGCATGCATCTCATGGTTAATATGCCAAGGGGAATTAATTATATTGATTAAACCAATAAACCGCTTGTGTTGAGGTTATCAATCTCAATCGTTTACATCTTAAGTTTATTGCTACTATCAAGTTAAAATACGGCTCTTGTTCTATATTGACTCGATAGTAAGTTTTATTAATGAACGCATCTCGTTATTAATAACTACCCTCGATGAACTGGATATACTCCTCGATTGAGTATTCGAGAGGAAGATGGTTAAAGATATAACCGGGATCGACGAACATTTCATTAAGTGGATAAAAGCAAAACCAAGCCACCACATCTATTAATCAAACTCATATAGGTTGTTCATCTTAGTGTTTTTAAATCAAACAAATCTAAACCCCCCCTTGTTACTACTTATATAGAAGAAAAGTATTCTTTCCCTGTGGATACGAACATTACTTCATTATACTACATATTAGTGCATATTAGTGTTGTATTATAATTATTTTGAGTGCACCTCACGACAAAGTGCACGTCAATGCATGAGTATTTTTTTTCAAAAATATTTTTAAAATAAAATTTATTTACAAAAAAATGACTAATAGTTACTACCCGTCTTAGAGCATCTGTAGTGGGGGAGTGGATTGCTAAACAATGAATTGCCACATCATTTTAATGTAAAATTACTTTTCCAACCGCATTATGGACTTTGGTTGTGGTGATGACCTGGAATGATAAAAAAGGGACATTGTCTATCTCACCTTCTAGTTTCAGAAAGCCCGTCCCATTGCCAACTCACCAAGCTATAGATTTTACCATTTTTTCCCGTATGAGAATCATATACGGAGTACGTAGTAAAATTAGGAATAAGCAAAAGCAACACTCTTTCCCTTCAGTCAAACACACCGCTGGTCAGAATTTCCGTAAATGAGGACATCAGATTCTACCAATTTTTTCCCGTCAAACACACCGCCGGTCAGATTCGCCATCTTCTTCCTCTCTACCGGCAACTTGCGGCAACAACCTTATCAGATTCTTCTTCAGTTATGGCGCTTGTAATCATAGGGTGCAGCCCCCGCCGGTCATCGACTCATCTCTATAGCCTCGACTCCCGATAATAGTGACTTGTCTCTTGACCCTGCCTCCGGCCTCTATTCCTAAACGACCGAGCCTCCTTCCACCATGTATTTCAGTTTCAGCACAGTCCTTTTCACGGGACCGAATATCTCCAATCTTTACAAATGGAAAATAACCTTGAGAACTCAACCTCCGTAGAATGGCTAATGGACAGGTTTTGCCATTCTTTTCCCAAGCCTGGAGGTGTGTAGTGCGTATGTATATAAATACTATTGTACTTTGTATATTGAAAACAAATAATGCTTTGCATATGAATAATGATTAATTTAATTTTTTTGTTAAGATATGGAACAGAAGAAACCATTGGAGAAGGAATATCATTTTAATAGTCTATGAGTCCAAATCAACCTCACAAGCTATTCATACGGATGACGTGTCCATTTTTCTAAGGGTGCAACTCACATCTCTATTGGAGATGCTCTTATGTAAAGGTTCTCATATTTGATTTTATTCACTTATAAAAAAAATTCCGATTTTATAAAACTTTTTATATAGTTCTGGAGTATATTATTTAAATTACATATTGACTAAATTGAATTTTGATATGGATAGGGATCAATTTATAATTTTACTGCCAGTCAAATTTAGTAAATCAATTTATAATTTTACTGACGAAGGGAGTACGTACTACTAAGATATTATTATTCCTTACATTATTACGGAGTATTATAATTAGAAATTAGTTCAAATAGGACTAAAACTATGGCAAAAACCTAAAATATGACTTGTTATGTTTTTATTCCAAATAGGACCATATGAGTCCTATTGGAAAAATACCTATTTTTGCATTCCATTCTTACCCTTCCATTAAATATGAATTAAAAATAGTCAAAAGCCATAATTAAATGTTTAATTCATAATAAATTCGAAAAAAATTCAAAAATTCGTAGAAATATAATTAAAAAATCTATAAAATTTTTATAAAATAAAAAATTCAAAAACTTTTTTTTTAAATAATTTTATTTTTTAAAAAAATTAATAAAAAATAGTAAAACTCCGTAAAAAATATTAAAAAAATATGGATGTTTTTCCCACCGCCTGTACTACCTCCCAGCACCACCACCTCCGGCCGATGAAAAAAAATGTCATTTTCCCAGAAAAATGCCATTTTTTTCTGAAAATGCCAAAAAATGGCATATTTCTCTTTTCGAATGCCAACATTTTCATTTTTTTCTGTCATAAATATGGCATTCGTAATGAACTTCGCATTTTTTTCCCTGGTGACTGGAGGTGGTGGTGCTGAGGCGGCAGAGGCAGTGGCGATTTTTTTTTTGAGTTTTTTTTTTTTTTAATTTTTTTAATTTTTTGAAAAAAAAATTAATTAAATTTTAAATATCGAAATGTTTTTCTTAATTTTTTAGTATTTTTTACGAATTTTTATTATTTTTTATTATTTTATTAGGAATTAAAACATTTTAATAGCTATAAGGGTATAATTGTCCAAGGTACACATAATTAGTCATATGCAAACATAGTTTATTTTTTGATCCTATTTGTGAAAAGTGAATGACTTTTAGTCCTATTTTGATAATTAACTCTATTATAATCTTATACTAGTAGATCCAGTAGTAAGTTAAAATGTAAAATTTGAGGATAAGCTATTAGCCTATTACGGAGTATTATACGGAGTAGTCAAAAGACTTGAAGGTCATACATGAATGCAGTTACGCATGCAGTTACGCATGCAGTTACGCACGCAGTTACGCATGCAGTTACGCATGCGCTTCCCTTTATTTCTTTTTTTTGGGTCTTTAAGCCCGCTTGGAAACACGTAAGAATCGGTTGATTCTGCTGATTTAAGAAAAAATATTTTTAAAATATATTTTATACATAAAATAAAGAAAAAATTATATGTAAAAATAGCTAAAATGGTAATTTATAGTAATTTTAGCCAATATAGTCAGAAAAGTAATTTCAACCTTACTTTTTTATTATTATTACATGATTCAGCGCGCAAAAATAAAATTTACGTGTTTGGTGAAAATATTGGTTGATAAACCTGATAAGCCAAAAAACAGTATTATCAAACAATCTCTGTATTTATATACTTGTATAATTTATAAATTTTATACTTTGATAAAAGTATTTGGAATATGGAATACTTTGATATATATAATTTATATATTCAAAATAATTTTGTTATTAAAAAATATGATAGGTGAAAGTTGATCGTAATTGAACAAGAAAAGTAATATTTGAAAGTTAAGCTTGCTTTTGTTTCAGTCTTTAGACTTTGGAATGGGTAGCTGTAATATTGCCTTTAATTTGGAAAGGGTAGCAGTAATCTTAGTATGGTCGTGATTGACAAGGTAAGGCGACAACAGTTCTTCAACGACCTAATATTAGTATGCAGTGTAGTTTATTACTCTCTCCCTCCCGAAAAGGTTCGTCAAATTGTCTTTTCTTGGTTAATGACAATCAACTTTGACCAATGATATATTTTAATACGAAATTATTTAGAATATAAAAATTATATCAAAATACCCCTTATTGAAAATATTTTTATAAAAGTATAAAATTTATAAATTATATGCAAATATAATAACTAAAATCATTGCTCAAAGTTTGTCATCATTGACCAAGAAAAGTCGTCAATTTGGCAAACCTTTTCGGGACGGAGTTAGTGTGTACTATGTATAAATATGGCATCGTCCTAGTTAGTTACATTCAAATCCAACAACCTAAGAATCTAAGAAACATTCATTTGTATAACGTAACCTAGCTAGCAAGCTGATCGCACGGAAGAACCTAAGCTAAGCTAAGATATGGGTAATAGAGTTATGGCGTCATCCGGATTGCTTCTTTTGTTTGCGGCGGCCTCCATTGCTGTAGTAGTTAGGGCACAGTACGGGCCCTCCCCTGACGACGATGTATTGCAGACGCTGAAAAGTAGCCTGACCTTGAAGAATGATACGTCGGTCAACTTGTCTGACGTCCATCCGTGCAACTGGACAACTTTTCTGGAGTGCGATGTAGTTGATGATCAGGGGACTCTCCGGGTTACAATTCTCCGCTTTTATGGTGAGGTTGCTAACGGGAGCCTGCCAGCCAATCTTGAAAACTTGACCAAGTTGGACGAATTCGAGGCGTCCTCCAACAACCTCGTCGGGGCAATTCCCAACTTTACTGACTCGGTCGGTTATCTCTCATTCGAGGATAACCAGTTCACTTCAATCTCACCTGGTCTGTTCGACTACAAGCCCAACTTGACATCCCTTTACCTATCCAACAACGCTCACCTACCCATGTGGGAGATCCCTCAGGGTCTGAAGAACTCCTCAAAGCTCCAACAATTCCACGCCGCTAATTGCAACCTTTTCGGAGAAATACCCGACTTATCCAACCTCCAATCTTTGCAGGAACTAGATGTTTCTCATAATCAGCTTACCAGCATTATCCCTCCATCCCTTGCAAATTTGTCAATGCTTATAACAGTGGATGTTTCTCATAATCAGCTTACTGGCGTTATCCCTCCATCCCTAGCAGGTTTGTCCCAACTTGAAACAGTGGATGTTTCCAACAATCAGTTTACTGGCGTTATCCCTCAAACCCTTGCAGATTTGCCCTACCTTACAAAAGTGGATCTTTCTAATAATAATCTTACTGGCACTGTCCCTGAATTTAAGTCTAATGTGACAGTGAATATATGTGGGAATCCCGGTTTATTACACGGAAGAGGGGCGCCATGTAATGTCTGAGCAGAGGACGATGATTGTGTTTGTTTTAAAAGTTTCTTTCTTAGCTTGCTGATCAAGCTAGCATATTAATCACTTTAATCTGTTCCTTCTTATCCCTTGTTTTTACCTACCTATTTCTGTTTTAAATCAAGATGATGTATCATGTGGAAGTAAATTAAAGAGTTATATGTAATTGTGTTTTTATTAATATTATTATATCGGTTGCGTTCACTACAAGAAAAAGGATTTTTAACAATGAAATATATGGTCGTTAAAGGCTCAAAATTCCACAGTTAAAACTTTTAACGACCATTTTTTTTGGTCGTCACGTGGTTGTTATTAATTATTAGTTTTAACGACCAAGTTCATCGTTAATAATTAACGACGACATAGAATATCGTCGTTATGTATTAACGACCGACGCAGAATATCGTCGTTATGTATTAACGACAACATACTCACTCATCGTTATGTAATAACAAGAATAATATTGTTCGTTGTTGTATAGTTACAACAAAATATGTAACCGTCATTATTTTTTAATACAATTTGTTAAATATTTTTTATTGATTACAAATTTATAATAACTTCCTTAATTTAAAGAAATTCTAATATTATTAAAATACTTTGTTATTGATTATAATAAGATAAAATAAAGTACATAATCCATCCAGCAATGAATTAAATGATCAATAAATTGTCATATTCCCATAAACTAAATGATCAATAAATTGTCTTTTACATTAAATAATCACCATCTACTGCCGAATAAAATAAACTCTTAACACGTAATTCTAAAATACATGCATCTACCATTAAGAAAATTAAATAGAGGAATACTAAATTAAATAAAATTAGTAATTTATCTCTCGTGCTGCAACCTCTAATCGAAACTTCCTTGCTGTAACCCCTAATGGAAACTTCCCTCGATCAACATTTCAAATCAGTCCATTTATTCCATCTAAACTCTCAAGCCTGTTTCAGCTCTTCAAGTGATATCACTTTTTACCAACTTAGTCGTGGGTCGCAAGTGCATTTCCCTGAACATGCTACCAAACATTAATTAACATGGGTTAATCAGTAAAACGCCTTAAAGTAAGAATCACCCAAGATTTTTATTTTACTTGCGATTTCTATGACTTTTCTAATTCCAACCATATTAAAATAATAACATTAAATGACAAAGGACTGGTTCCAATTCATAAATAAAAGTGCAACTTAAGATTAAGAATAAAGCATTTGAATCCCTAAGTTTAAGGTGTTGGCTCAGTTCATCGTTTGGTATTAGCTTAGCTCGTCTTGACTAAATTTAATCCTTGAGCATAGATAGACATATGGTCAACCATAAACCTTGAGTATTATCTAGTCTTGATTACATTTAATCCTTGAGGGTAGATATACATATGAAAATGAAAAATTATTACCTGAAAAACAATAATAGTTGTATCATATCAATGTTCTTCAAATCTGGAGCCAAGTAAATGCAGTTAGGATGCCCATTATACCGCCAGACAAATTCTAAACCCTCACAAATCATGCACAAGTCATATAAAAGAATAATAATAGAATTCATCGAGTTTTTGCCACTTTTGGTCCCCGAGTATTATGTCAGTGACACTTTTGGTACACGACTTTTAATTTTTCCATTTTTAGTCCTCGACTATTGTTCGTGAGACACTTTTAGTCCTCTACTTTCAAGTTTCCCACATTTAGTCCTTTGAGTATTATCAAATTGACACTTTTAGTCCTTCTACTATGATTTTGACACAATAAGTGGAAGACTAAAAATGTCTCTATAGCAATAGTTGAAGGACCAAAAGTGTCACTTCTACAAAAGTCGAAGGACTAAATACGGAATAGTCGAGTACCAAAAGTGTCACTGACACAATAGTCGAGGGACTAAAAGTGGCAAAAACTCAGAATTCATCACTATGTTGACCAAATAGAAGAAATAAGAAAAAAGCTCATCAAATGGAAACATCAATAATATCCCTTTAATCACACAACAGTAAAACTGTAGAAAATGTCAATTATATGAGTTTGGTGAGCGAGTTTTTCGGCTTATCAGACTTATCAGCCAACTTTTTCACCAAAGACGTTACTTTTGATTTCGCGCGCTGAATTGTGTAATAATAAGGAAAAGTAATGTTGAATTTACTTTTTTGGCTTTATTAGCTTAAGTTAATATACTGTTTTAACTGTTTTTTAATATACTTTTTTCTTTATTTTATTAATAAAATATATTTTATATATAATTTTTTCATAAATCAACAGAATCAACCAATACAACCATTTCAGCCAGAACTTCATAAATATCGGCACAAACAGCTGATTCAACCGATTTCAGAGTTACCAATACAAAAAAACATCTGCTTTGTCACGGATTTTGTCACAGACCATAGTTCAAAAAATCCGTGACAAATGATTTTTGTCACGGACTTTGTCACGGACCAAATCCGTGACAGCATGGGCGTGATAACGTTTTTGTCACGGACAGTAATCCGTGGGAGAGTTTGTCATGGATTTGTCACGGCCACCTTCCGTGACAAAACACTTCACCGGAACTAGGGATGGACTCGGGTCCGGGCCGGGGCCGGGTCGGGCCTAGGCCCGGGCGGGCCGGCGGGTCAGAAATGGTGGACCTGGGACCGGCCCGGGTAACCACTGGGTCCGGGCCGGGCCGGGCCGGGCCCATTATAATTTTTTTTTGTTTTCCTCTTCCTAATTAACCCCCCTCCCACCCCCAACCCCCAAACCACCCCAAATGGCCCAAAATACCCAGCCCAACCCAAAAATTTAAAAAAAAATGCAAAAAAAAATAGTTTTTGGCCCGAACCGGACCCGGGCCCGGCAGGGTCGGGCCTTGTTTTGGGTGACCCGATCCCGGACCGGAAAACCCACGGGTCAGGCCTACCCGGACCGGTCACTGACCGGGCCACCGGGTCGGGTCAGGCCGGAACAGTACCGGTCCCGGGCCGGTTCCGGGTCGGGCCACCCGGCCCGAGTCCATCACTAACCGGAACTCCATCGCCGTGACAAAAATCCGTGACAAAACGCGAGTTTTTTTGTAGTGTACCAAACGGGCTGGAGGTATACTTCTCTAGGAAAGCCAAGTCTAGATTCAAGCAGGAATATAAGTAGGATTTAGATGTGTCATATTTAACTGTCCAGAATCTAGAAATCCTTCTCTTTGTTTACACAGCACAAGAATAATAGTGGGATACAAAGGAATCCTTCTCTCATTTCCCTATTAATGTCAGCTTCTATAAAATATTAGCCCTTCTAGGAACAAAACATTATTAGACACAATGATCAATAGGAAGGATATAAAAGTTTTGATCACTGCTTGGAACAAAAAATTAAATTAGAAGTGCTACCATCAGCACTCTCAGTAAACTCCTAAACAAAATGACTACCCAGAGGTTTTCTTTTTTTAGCCTTATGAAAATCTCACATTTCGTAATAACACATTATTAGACATATGTCACATATCACCTTCAAAGAAGAGGTAATCCTATTATTTAAGATAATTTACATTCCATGAACTAATGCCACCTTAGGTATAAGGCAATGGTTACCAACTCCCCTTTTCAATCTCGTTTCTTATACTGCACAATCCTTTTCAATTGTTACTCCATTATGCATTATAACAATATACTATATACAATAGAATATAGTTGAAGCTATAGACCAGTAATAGAAGCACCTACTTAAATTATCTCCTTTTGGCAGCTGTTGACCTTCTCCACCTCTGCATCATATCTACCTCTCCACTATGTAGATTCATCCATTGCTTCTCTATTAGCAAGATCAAACTATCTCCCGATTAGCAAGATCAAGCTTTAAGTACATAACTATATCAATGTCATTGTCATTCCCAACCCAATCAAGATCACTACCTGCTTTCTCCCACCGATCTTCTTCATCCTATACTTCCATTACTTGGGTGAAACCAGATTAACTCTGGTTGGGTCATTCCAGAGTGCATGTCTGACGGGTCACTACTCACTAATGATGTTTTATCCAGAGGTTGTCTAAGTGTGTTTGCAAAGGAGTGAAGATACAAAGTAAAATCCCATCAGTCCAAATTGAGTTGTGGCTGCATATATATCACACACGAAAAACAAAGTAATTTGAGATTCCTAATTTAAGATTTATTCGTGATACCAATATTAAATCAAGCAATCCCAAAGCCCCAAAAATCAACAAAACCATTCTTCTCTAAGTGCCAAAAATGGGGAATGAGGACATGGGGATGTGTGGTAACCAAAAAACAACGGCCATAAGAGAGGAGGGCGGATAGAGTACGTATATGATAAGAAAATCGGAAGGAACGGTCGGAGATTTGGAGATTGGTGGCGTTTTTAAACGCTTCTCAAAACCCAAGCATAGTTCGACAGATTACCTGTGTTTTGTCAATTAATGGCGTTTTTCAACGTTTTTAAAAAGATTGAGCAAGTGCGAGTCGAGAAACATTAAGATCGACGGCGTACGAGAGACGAATGCGGCGAGGTCTGGCTTCAGAGAGACGAACGTGGCGCAGGTTTGGAGAGGTACACTACTTAGGTTTTTTTATCTAACCAATTTAATTAAACCAGCAGGTTAGGCAACGAAAATTAGAAATAATTGGCAGCATATTGAAAAAGTACTCCGTATAATTAATCTTATTCAAATTGATTGATATTTTTCTCAACTAAAATTTTAAAATAAAATAATATATAAGAAAACAATTATTTAGTAATAATGATGACTACACGTCAATTAATAACAACAACTTTTCATTATGGTCGTTAAAGATAATATTTAATAACAATGACTTCATTAGTCATTGTTAATATGAATTTTTAACGACAATTTTTTAGAGTCGTCGTTATATGCTGGTCGTTAAAAGCCCTTTTTCTTGTAGTGGTTTCTATGATATTTATGGATTTAAGCTCTTCAAGTTCTTGTTTTTTAATATTTTTCTCTTTCAATTCTATATGTTGCACACATGCTCGAATACTCTCGGGGGTGTGCATGTACCAACTATGTTTCAATTCTTAACCACTAGTATTATGTTATGGACCTAGCCCATACCGGTCATTGGCAGAAACCTAGGTGTAGAACTCACTCCCAAGAGACCAGTCGATTAGAAGGAGGAAACACCTTGCTTATAATTAAACCACTAGTCAACGACCTCGTTACTCACGGCTATGTTGGTCACAGTTGGAACCCCC